CTCATTCACAAAATCAGAACAAAAGCCGTGTATCCTTTTAAATGATCCTTTGCATCATCTCCATAAATATCCAAAAACACAACTCATAAACCGTATCTTATATCTAGGATTTAACACAACAGCCATGGCTTTACTCCATAAACAACCTCCCAGTATGTTTCAAACTTTGCCATCATATTGGTAGCCCTACATTTTATGTCATCATCAGAAGATTTGAGCCAATATTTGACAATCTAATACGAGAAAGCATTAGTAAAAAAGAGCAGCTGTCATATATTTGGTCTTTAAAAACATCTCTTTCAATTCATTAAACACTTCCAAATGTTCACAGATGTCTTCTGCCATCTTCCACTCAGACTCAGTAGGTAAGCATTCATATTGTTCATCACACGTTTTCAAATGATAAAAACATCTTATATTCCAAAGCCGTACTAAGCATCAGATATGTTGAATTCCACATACTTCTACTATCAAGCACAATTTCTTAGTATATGTAACGTTCAAGTGATGTGCAGTGTTCTCAAAGTTTTCTACCCTCAGGGTGATATCAAAAAGCTAATACTGTCCCTTATCTTCTCAATGTCTTTCTCAACATTCCATCCCATCCTTCATTATCAAATCTAAGATTTGACCACAACACTGCAAATGAAAGAATCTTCCACCATGACCTTAGAATCAACAGTAAATTTAGATATACATTGACATCATGGCTCATTGATGGAACAACTATCAATAGTTAAAGCAGATAATTTTCTATCCAAATTCCAATCAATCAAAAGCTCGAACAACTCATCGCAAACCATTTCAGGTGTAGGGAAATGGCACATGTATAAACCATACATATTTAAATAAATTTATAAATATTAAAATAAACAAGTAAATCAACCACTTTGAATGAATTCATAAAATTAAAAGAACTTGAAGTCTTAAAAAAAGTACCTCATGATTCGACTTTGTAACGCCCCCGAGTCATAACGTAATGCGCTGTAACAGCCATATGTCTACTATTTTTATGAGGGGTGACAAAATCCACGTAAAGCAATCTTACTCTCAATTGTGCCCATCATCTTCCTTGTGGTAGTTCTCTCAACATCATACAATTTGAAGATTTCCTTCTTAAGCAAGTCTTTGCTCAAAGGACCAATCAAGGTTTGCAATATTTCATCAAATCTCTAAACCCAAAAATTTAACAAATGAGAGTGGAAGCTCATGCATTACAACCATTTTGGCAACCATTTCTCTACCAATATTATATCAAATTGAGGCTCACCCTTGGTCTTTATTACCACTTTCAATTTCGGCTGGCCCTGTTTCATCCTCCACTTTTCATTTTGTTGATTTCAGAAACATGCATTGTTTCCCTAAAAAACATTGTAGATAAATCAACAAATAACCATCATATACTTTTCAAGTTTACATTTTGACCCCTTATCTAAAACATGCTCCACTTGTTCTGTAAAGTTCAAAACTTCAAATCAACACAAACATTTAATATGCAACTCAATGCCAAATAACACCGAAACGGTAACTAACCAAATGTGTGGACAGCCTGACTGCGAAAGTGGGTTTCTTCGGGGAGGCGGCTGCAGGCTGAGTTTTTGAGTTACGAGTTCTGAGTCTTTATGATAATGAGCTTTGTGTTTTAAATGTATAGTTTTAGGGCTTCTTGTTTCTAAAAACGTTACGTTTTTCGAGAAAACAGTAGATGATAATTTTTCATTGCCGGGGCGGGGACTTAAATCCCGGTTCGGGTACCCGAGGACAGTCCAGTGTGCCCGGGTGGCCCGGGCTGGTGTTGTTTCTCTGTTCTTTTTAAAAATATGTGATCTTCATTGAAACGATGAGAATTTGAAGTGATAAAGCACTTGTTTGTACTTCTTTCCATGAAACAAATCCAATCCATTTTAATATTTTGATTTCCTTCATTTGATTGTATTTTCAATCAAAAAGTGTCATTGTTTGTTAGTTCTGTACATTTTGGGTCTGATTTGGGCAGCTGGCTTTGCGGAAGAAGACGACGGAAGTCAACGTATTAGATTCAGGGTATTTCATTTCAAATTGGGGATTTATTTCCTGATATGATTTTGAATACTTAGCTATTATCTTAATCAAAAAGTTAGGACACCGAAAATTTTACACCAAAAATGTATCGCTCTACGTGTAACACGCCTCTGATTCTTTAACAATTTTTTTAGTGAACGGTCGTCCACAAATTGGACGGCTGTTACTCACATGGACAGGTGTCCATATGCAAGGGATGGGCGTTCCCATTTAAAGGACACGTACGTAATAAATAGAAAAATTAGAAAAAAAAACTTTGGCGACGGCCGTCCATAAATTTTGGACCATGTCCCTTACATTTGGACGAGCGTCATTCCTAATGGACGCTACTTTAAAAAAAAAAAAAAAAAATTTGGATAGGCGTCCATTCCTAATGGACGCCATCCATTATTTGGTTTCTACAAATTAAAGAAAAAAATTTGGATGGGACGGGCGTCCGTAAGGCATGGACGCCCGCCCATTACTTACGTTTTTAAAAATAAAAGAAAAACTTGTAGTTTCACCCAAGGTTGATGGGTTTGAGATCACCAATGCAGTTAGGAAGTGTCATTAGTTACAGCCATTGAATTCAACACCTCAGCATCACTTGTCTTGTCCTCAAGCAATGACACCATTTCTCCCAGATACACTGGAGGCCGCTTCAGTACAGAGAGCAGCAAGATCTACTCCCACTAAACATGGGTATCTCTTGCAACTCTTTCAAGATCAACTAAAACATGCATCAAATAAGAATGTCACTATACTAAAGAAAAAAGGCATAAAATGATTTATAAAGAAAAAAGATGTAAAATGATTTATAAAAGACGATGAGATGAAGCAGATAAGAGTCCTACATCTTCCATGCTTTTAGCAAAAGTTTATAATTATATTTTAATTAGGGTAAGAGAACGAGAAGTTTTGAATATTTAAAGCATATGACCATGAATACAATCAAGCTTGGTTCAACTCAGTTTCATCCTTCTCTTTTGTGTGACAATGCAGTTAATCATGGTCAAGAATTGCGTAGCAAGTTGGAGCAACTGGAGACGCTGTTCTCCAGGTTGAGGTCCCTCAAAAATCCTAATGACTTTTGTAAAAAGGTAATTCCATGAGGGCAAGAGTTTAAGATTTTCGGGGAAGTCAGTAGCGGTGAAGAGAATAAGGATAAGCTACAGAACTTCAACCAGGATGCAAACGTACTAGACTGGCTGGAGGACGTCAAAAAGTTGGTTGATGATGTGCAAGAGATACTGCATGAGATTGCTATCACTGGAAAGAGTTCACAAAAGTGTGGCTTCCTTGCTCGTTGTTGCAATCCAGTAGCTGATAAGCATTTACTGATACTCGTCGAATAGATAATGCAAGTAAGCGAATCCTATACTCAAGAAAAGAATGAAAGACACTGGATTGAAAGTGAGATACGACACTTCCTAACGCATTGGTGATCTCAAACCCATCAGCCTTGCGTGAAACATAAGTTTTTTTTATTTTTAAAAACATAAGAATCGACAGGGTCCATTCCTTAGGACGCCTGTCCATCCAAAGTTTTCTTTAACTTGTAGAAACCAACAACGTTGATTTTTTTTTTTTTTTTAAAGGTATGGACGGGCGTCCATTAGGAATGGACGTCCGTCCAAACGTAAGGGACGGCCATCCAAAATTTATGGACGGCCGTCCCCAAAGTTTTTTTTTTTTTTTTCATATTTTATTTATGGACGAGCGTCCTTTAAATGGGGACGCCCGTCCCTTGTATATGGACACCCGTCCATATAATATGGACGGGCGTCCATGTGAGTGAACGACCGTCCAAATTTGATAGACGGCCGTTCACTAGAAAAAAATTGTTAAAAAAATCAAAGACGTGTTACATGTAGGCCGGTACACATTTTCGGTGTAAAATTTTCGGTGTCCGTAGCTTTTTTGATCTTCAATAATACTAACCTCACTAACCCCATGTGGGAGTTTGTGATTGGCTTGGTTAGGCGGAACTCATTATTGGACAGGCAGGACCCATGTAAACTAACGAATTGTGAGTTGACACGTGGCATTAGTGAGAGAAAGTTAGTAAGAAGTGTTAGTGATTGTAGTGTTACATTATTATATTTGAGTAATGCTATGCGTACTCATGGATCTTACTAACCATCTTACTAACCTTTGTTAAAATTACATATGGTACCCGTACTATGATTATGGTACCTATACTATGCTTTATATTTACAAAGGTTAGTACGATGGTTAGTACACTCGTAAGTACACATAGTATTATTGATTATCTTTTTTGAATATCTATCCTGTTTTAAAGAGTGTTCTTGGGTCTTAGTTTTACTGTGAGATATGGCTCTTTCAAAGTTTGTGTATCAACAACTCTGGCTTAAATTATTTTAGGATTTGATTTTGTTTTATACAATAAAACCTCTCTCTAGTCATAATGTATCAAACTAATTTATTATTATAAGGAGGTTATAACTTAATAGATGTGTAGTTACAAAAAAAGCTATTTTGATTTCTTATTTTATAATTCATATTTTAGTAGTATGTATTAGGACTTCAATTAATTGTTTTAATAGTATTAGGATCTCTTATTTACTTTAAATATTACTTGTTTCTTATTTTATAATTTATGTTCTGGTAGTATTAGGATTTCCTATTTACTTTTAATATTACTTAATTTCCTATTTTAAAATTCATGTTTTGGTAGTATTAGGATTTCAATTCATGTTTTAGTATTAGCAGGATTTTAGTAGTAGTATTAGGATTTCTTATTTACTTATCCTAGTAGAATTATGATTAGCCTGCTATAAATAGGGTTGTTATGTTTCAACTTATTCAATCAAGTTTTCAATAAAATATTTCACCAATTCAAGTGATACCTTTCTTCTTCCTCTAGCAAATCAATCATGCCACCCAAAGTTAATACACTAACTCAATTGATTGAAAGTATTCTTGTTGAGTTGTGCAAAATGAAAGAATCAAACCCTAGTTGGAAGCAGAAAGATCTTGTGAAGTGGGTAGAAGATACTCATGGTCTTAAGGTATCGCAAGCAGCAATATCTAAGACACTCAAACGATCAGCCGACCTCTTTCAAGAAGAAGGATTGTTGAACCCAAACATAAAACATTCAAAGATGGTAAAGTACCCAGCAATGGAGTTTGCCCTCTATGAATGGTTTGTATGTCATCAAGAGCATGTTAATATGAATGGTGAATTGTTAAAAGAGAAGGGAAATATTTTTCTAAGGAAACTCTATCCCGAAGCTACCTCGTTTGGATTTTCAAATGGATGGTTGGAAAAGTTCAAGCAACAACATGCAATTCATTCCTTTCGTCGTTTTGGGGAAAGTGGTTCAGTTAATATGGAGAAAATTGAAGCTAGTTTGCCATCAATAAGAGAGGAACTAGACAAATGGGCTTGGAAGGACATTTATAATATGGATGAAACTGGCTTATTTTATCGAATACAAGCCGATAACTCTCTTGCAACAAAGCAGTTGGAGGGTCGAAAGCAAAACAAAGAAAGGATTACAATTGTTATTCGTTGCAATGGCGACGGCTCTGACAAACTTCCACTTTGGGTCATCGGTAAGTTTCTTAATCCAAGATGCTTTAATAATGTTAACCGTGATAATCTCAATTGCAAGTATCAGGCAAATTCAAATGCATGGATGACATCTTTGTTTTTTATGGAATGGCTTAAGTGGTTTGATAGTCGTTTAGATAAAAATGTCTTGCTTATATTGGATAATTGTACCGCACATGGCAAAAAGGAGAATCTCCCCCCATTTCATCATACAACTGTTCTGTTCCTACCACCAGCTAGCACTTCCAAAATCCAGCCATGTGATGCAGGCATTATCAGAAATTTCAAAGGTTATTATCGGCAGTGCTTTAATCGTTTACTTTTGAAACGGATAGAAGATCATGTATTGGAACCAGAAAAGATAAGTATCCTGATGGAATTGTAAATGCAGTCGTTGCATGGTCAATTGATGTGAAGCCACAAACAATTATCAATTGTTTTAAGCACTACAAAATTAGGACTCCTGATATCGATGAATTACAAGTTACAAATGAAATGAATGAAGAGAATAGAAAAGTCATTGCAGAATTGAGTGATCAGATTCAAGAACTTCACTACACTAATCGAATGAATATTAATGTCTTCCTCGATCATCCAAATGAGCAACAAGTCGTATATGCTTTAACTGAAGAAGAAATCATTGCTGCAATTAGACAAGAAGAGAAAGAAAATAATCCTGAGGATCATAATACGGAAATGCAAAAAGTTTCCTGCCATGAAGCTCTAAAGATGCTTGAGCAGCTAGAAATATTTTGGTTTCAACAAGAAAGTGTCTATGCTAGCGAGTTATTATATACTTGTAAGTTAGAAGATTTGGTAACAATTCTAAAGCATAAATCATTGTCCCAAACAACTTTAGATAAAAATTTTATTTCATCATAAACCTTTAATGTAACATAGCATTTTTTTTTTTTTTTTTTACAATATACAAATAATTATTACTATATGGAGGCAATTTTCCTTAAGACAGGAATTAAAAAAATTATAACTTATTACAATGTGAAATTTATTCTTATTTATAACTATCACAAATTGGGAATATAATATTTTATGACTATATAGAGTTTATTTCTATATAGAGTATCACTATAGAGAGGTTTTACTATATTGTGTAAGGATTCTTTTATAGGGAGGATAATTAGGTATAATTATGCTATTATGAAATTAGAATATCTTTAGAATTAGGCAATTAGATTAGAATTAGGCAATTAGAATCCTTATAGAATTAGAATAATTTGTACGGCTATATAAACCTTAAAACAATTAGGGTTTAAGCTTGCAATATCAATTAAAAGTTCTCTTTCTCTTAAACTCTCAATTTTCATTCTTCTTGGAGGTTGTGTTGCCTTATATAAAACAGAAACACTATCATTGGTGTTTTCGTTCCCTGTCCATGGCTGACCCTTCCTGTAACAAAAGGCCAAGTTGGACGCTCAAGAGACCAAACTTGACTCCTTGGAGGGTCTTTTGAAGGCTATTACACTAATCTGACTATCATTGATGCCAAGCTATAACAACAATGACGGAAGAAGGAGCCCGCGGAGGGTAGTTATGCAAGTGGTGATGGCACTCCCTCGCCCGACACGAGTTCGCATTCTTCTGGGTTTGCCCTGCCTTTTAAGCCTTTCATATTAGAGGTGTCACGCTTTGATGGCACAGATCCGCGTGACTGGAGGTTTAAAGCTGAAAAATTCTTTGATTACCATAAACCTCTACCGAGCAATGGTTGACGATTGTTTCTTTCCAAATGGATGGTCCCACATTGTCCTGGTACCGTTGGATGATTCCAATGGGTAGATCCACTCTTGCGTTCTTTCTTGCAGAATTTAGATGTTCGTTCTGGGAATTCGACAATGGGGGGTCACTGGTGTATGCGTAGGGGCAGTCGCACAGGTAGGCGCGCGACGTGGCACACACAAGCTTGGGTTGGTGGAAATTGGCCTAGGACTTTCGTCCAGCAGTTGGTAGGCGTGACTTAGAGCTTCAAAAATCCGACAATAGAAGGTCATCGACGATTAGAAAAATCAAATCCACACACATAGAACACTTCTACAACTTCCAATTTCAAGAATCAACCTCCAAAATACCCTAATTTCATCAGACAAGCAAAAACCCCAATATCGCAAAGAAACAAACCCTAGAGAGGAGGTCAATAATCGGTGAGTGAGTAGTGTCAAGGTTGTTGGGGTTTTGGAGTGAGGGTGCTAGTTAGAATAATGGTGGTACTGGGTGGATTCCTACGAAGGAATAGACCAGAATCGGCAAAAATCGCATGGCTGTAATTGCAAGCTATAGTTGACGATTTGCGAGACAAACAAAAAGAGGGAAAGATGTGTTTTGTTCAGAAGGCTAAGGGGAGTCTTTTGGTGGTTCGAGGGCAATTGTCAATGCCTAAAAAAGGCCGATAAGGCCTAAGTTGGTTGTCACATGTGGTGGAGGCTTTTGGAGAAAGAAGTTCAAGTTCGGCCAGAATCCTGCCCTTATTTATAATGGACTTTTAACCATCATGTCTTTCTTCACAATGAAATTTACTAACAGAACTATTTTTTGAGAAGTGATATTTTGAATCTTTTTTTGTGAGAAAGTGTCATTAAGGCAAACTTTGGGTGGGAAAAGTCATTTACTCTAAAATGGACACATATACATCTATCTAGTTACGTGATGAATGCAAATGATACACATTTTTATGGTTTACACTGATTGAATTAACATACTTACCCCTGGTATTTTTCATATAACTTGTGTTTCACCTCACTTTTATCCTTGTCATGTGGTAGTTTCATGAGTTTGTAATGCACAAGAAGAAACATGTGGTATTTGCAGCATAGGATACTCTTTTAATACCTGTTGTTAGTAACCTTCTCGTGTTCTCTTTAAGATCCTGCCAAACATTTTTGAAAAGTACTTGATGTTATCTAAATGCATGAAGCATCCAGAATAAATAAAGTTTCTAGAAGACCTCTAGATGTGTGAACTACAATACCTAATTTCCTGTCCTTTGGCTGTGTGAAAAACATGCATGCATTTTAAGTTTCTTGTTCTTTGCTGGGTTTCACTAATTTCCCTTGTTTGGTTGTACTCTGCACCAAGTTTTAATTACTCTATGGCTGCCAAAAATTGGTCCCCAATACCAAACATTCAACAACTCTATGGCCTAATCCCTTTTTTATCGTCTACTATGAAGAAGGACTCTTAACAGCTACCACACTCCCTTTTTACAGAGCACTTCCTTCCTAGAGAGTCTTATAAATATTTTTATTGAAAAATATAAATTAAAGCAAAAGAGAATTTATATTTCTATAATATTATATGATATTACGCAAGTTTCATGTAACTTTGAAATGAAAGCTGAAGCTTTCCTGTCAAAACCAAGCTGAGCAAGCACAATAACCAGAAATAGTCTGAAAATAAGTCAGTAAATTTTTAGATATGCATCAATAAACACATAATTACACCTAATACATCAAAAATATATTATATTACAATGGTAAACTAGCAACATAAACACCCTCCAAATCCATAAAGTGTTAGTGGAAATCAGTGTCATACCAAATGAAGATTAAAGATCAAAGTAGAAGTTAAAAAGTGGACCGTATTCAACATTACATCCTCAACTCAATCCTACGGCCCTTCATCATGTTTAACTTCCATCCCAGAAACAATCTGACATTCAGGAATTTGACCTATGAAAGGAGAAAACAATGAATAAACAATGACCATGTTAATGATAATAACTATGAAAAGAATGTTGAAGTAATTTCATACCTTGGTGTTGACCCCAAAACCAATTTTGAGTACATGTTACAGCCTCCAATATGTCTGGCTGAAGTCTACTACGATGTGGACTTAAAAATCTATTGCCATTACTGAAAGGAGACTTAGATGCAGCCGTGGATAATGGAATAGCCAAGATATCTCTAGCAATCAAAGACAATAGAGGATATGCTTTCCGATGTGCCTTCCACCAAGTCAAAATATCTAAGTCCTTAGTATCTTCTAAAGGATTATCCAAGTAACTATCCAACTCCGGCTTCAATTGCCTCTCACGCTTATAGTTATCCACCAAATACGAGGCATATTCTTCCTCTTTGCCATGTTTTACAGCAAAGAAAGGAACAAATCTTCTAAAGTAGTCTGCTCCAAATTTATTCTTCTGTTGATACTCATTCACAAAATCAGAACAAAAGCTGTGTACCCTTTTAATATGATCCTTAGCATCATCTCCATAAATCTCCAAAAACATAAGCTCAATAGTACGCATCTTATGTCTAGGATCTAACACAACAGCCATGGCTTTAACTCCATAAACAACTTCCCAGTATGTTTCAAACTTTGCCATCATATTGGTGGCCCTACATTTTATGTCATCATCGGAAGACTTGAGCCACTTATTTATCGACAATCTAATATCAGAAATCATTAGTAAAAACAAGACAGCTGTCATATATTTGGTCTTTAAAAAGATCTCTTTCAATTCATTAAACACTTCCAAATGTTCACAGATTGCTTTTGCCATCTTCCACTCTGGCTCTATAGGTAAACATTCACATTGTTCATCGCACATTTTCAAATGAAGAAAAACATCTTTATATTCCAAAGCAGTACTAAGCATCAAATATGTTGAATTCCACATACTTCTACTATCAAGCATCAATTTCTTAGTATATGCAACGTTCAATGTCTTTTTCAATCACTTCCATCTCATCCTTCATTATCAAATCTAAGATTTGAGCACAACACTGCAAATGAAAGAATCTTCCACCCATGACCTTAGAATCAACAGTAAATTTAGCTATCAACATTGACATCATGGCATCATTGATGGAACAACTATCAATAGTTAAAGCAGACAATTTTCTATCCAAATTCCAATCAATCAAAAGTTCGACCAACTCGTCGCAAATCATTTCAGCGGTGTAGGGAAATGGCACATGTATAAACCTAATATATTTAAATACAAGAAGTATAAAAAAAAAACGTAAATATAACCACTTTGATTGAATTCATAAAATTAAAAGAACTTTAAGTCCTAAAAAAAATACCTCATGATTCGACGTTGTAACGCCCACAAGTTGTCAACGAAATGCGCTGTAACAGCCATATATCTACTCTTTTCGTTATGAGGGGTGACAAAATCCACGCTAATAGCAATCTTACTCTCATTGTTGCTCATCATCTTCATGGTGTTAGTTCTCTCAACATCATACAATTTGAAGATTTCCTTTTTAAGCAAGTCTTTGCTCAAAGGACCAATCAATGGTTTGCAATATTTCATCAAATCTCTAAACCCAAAATATTTAACAAATGAGAGTGGAAGCTCATGCATTACAACCATTTTGGCAACCATTTCTCTACCAATATTTACATCAAATTGAGGATCCACCC